TCTCTCTCTCTCTCTCTCTCTCTCTCTCTCTCTCTCTCTCTCTCTCTCTCTCTCTCTCTCTCTCTCTCTCTTTCCTCCCAGGCAAACTCTCCATCAGCCGTTTCCGAGTTCATCTCAGGAGCACGGGACATGGGCATGGACAAGGGCATGGGCATGGACAAGGGTATGCTACCCAGGTGTCAACGGGCTTGCCGGTGATTTTGCTGTGGACACTGGTGCATGGCGAGCGTCGACGGGCCTGCAGACAGAGCGAGTCCGCCAAGCCCAGCACTGCAATTCCCATGGTCTCCTTAGGTCCTTAGCTGTCTCTCTCTCATCCGGGGGGTCTCATCTCACACCCTCCGGCCTCCGGGTAATTGCCCCTCCTTTGCCCCTAGCAATTTGACACAGCGCTAGGCACTGCGTCATATTCTAAATACACCCGCAACCCCTGCCCGAGTTGGGTTGAGCAGCAGCAGCAGCAGCAGCAGGCAGCACTTCTCCTCTCTCACGCCCGCCCAACCAGTCGCCAGTCGCCAGTCGCCAGTCCCCAGTCTCTCACCGCCCGTGACAGCCTGACCAACGACGGGCGGGCGAGAGGGCGTCCCTCCCGCTAGTTAGTCTAGCAGGTGCTAGTCCTAGACCCGGACCAATCTCGATCCTGGCAACGTGGCATGCATATTTGATTGGCCTCTTCCCCCTCCCCCCCCCTCCCTCCCCCTCCACACTCCCCCCGGCTCTTCTGATTCAACCCTGTCACATCCAAGTCACATCCAAGTTCCCGTCAATCAACTTCGCAATGCGAATATAACCAAACCTTGTCACGTTTGTTCCATGCGTTGTCGAAAGGCTCCACTGCTTAACATCAGTTTTATCATTGATACCTTACTCAAGACTCAAGACCCCCTCCCCCCTTCCCCCCTCCCCCCCCGTTGCCTCCACCCAACCCCCCCTACCTCGTTTCCATAAGACCCTTACCACCTACCTCTACCCTCTACCCTCCACCTTCCCCCAACCCCCCCCCCCCTCCCCCCCCTCCCCTACCGCCTTACCCGTCCTAGAGTCGAACAATCCTCTCATCCAAACTTGCAGCTCTCTTTGCGCCTCGTCCCCTTCCCCTAGTCACCTCCACCTATTTTGCCATCGGCATCGGCTTCGAACCGTTCGTCTCTCAGGCTGGTACATTACTCTCCCTCTCCTTGGTCACTTTTGAGGTTTTCTCTTTTTTCATTGTGTTTTCCTCTTGGGCACCGGCTCTGCGGTACGGCATACCTTCTGCGTCTCAATTCCTCTTGTCATTTCCATTAGGTTCGGAGACCCTCGTCAATCCAACTTCTTAATTATGAGCCCTGTGCAAATCACCCAATTCTCGGACATTGGCTTTCACGCTTGTACCTCCTTGGTCAAGCCGGCCGAAGACTTTGTAATGGAGCAAGGCTCTGTTAAACAGAGGTACACCCTCGTACTTTTTCCTTGTTCCCAGCAGTCACCCACTGTTCTCTGTATCCATTTCTTGCCTGCCGAATCCGACACCAGGGACCGCGAGCTGCAGTCACCCCTCGTCGTCCAGGATCAGGCGCGCTCTTCCTTACATCTGTATATCTCGAAAGATCAACAACGCGTCGCGTCGTGCTTTTCCCAATGGTTACGACTCTCTACCCTGTGTTTCCGAACATCATGTGGAAGAATATCTCACTGACGATTTTCTCATGCAGCATCATCCCCATCACTCACAGCAGGGTCCTCCACCTCCGCACCATCTGTCACAGCAATCTCGACCCTCGAGTATCGTTCACCAGCACCACCAGCAACAACAGGTCCCCCCCCAGCAGTCCCAACACTCGAACCCGTACCCTGCTTCCCATCTCCCGCAATACGCCCAGAGCGGCGCGCCAGGTGCAGGTGGCCAGCATCCACAGGAGCTGCCATACTACACGTCGAATTCTCACCCGAGTCCCTATAGCACCCCCAGCGCGACCGGCACATACTCATCTGCTGGTAAGTTTGCCCATCCGGACGCGTGTGTGTTTTCCGAGACGCGTCGCTAATCCTGCTGTCAGCCCCAGACACGCCCGACATCATGGCTGCGGCGCAGATGACCCGACCATACCCTCCCATCTCATACCATACCCCCCAGTCGAACTCGCCAGCTTCTGTCGCCTCGCCTTCCGGCCATGACCAGCACCGAATCTACGCGCCAACTTCTCAGTTGCAACAAAACCCCCAGATGTACTACGGGGGCCCTCAGCAACAGCAATACCCACAGTTGCCGCCCCAAAATGCCCCGTCGTACGCCCCGCACCCGCAGCAGCAGCAACAACATCATCAATCCATGACTTCTCAGCCGAACCTCCTCATGTCCCACACGCCCAGCCAGCAGCACCAGATGCAGCAGCACCCTGGTCAGCAGCAACACGCCCAGCAGGCTATGAGTGGGAGCCCGAGAACCAAGATTGAGCCGCACGTACCTCAGATTCCCCGACCATCTGCGCCTCTGGGACCGCCACAGCAGCAACAGCAGCAGCAGCACCCTGCAAACGGCCCGCCCATGCAACAAAACGGCGCGCCGAATGCTGGGAACGCTGGCGTCAACCCCAACGCTGCTCCAGGTCCGATCCCGGCCACTACGCCCCTGGTCGTTCGTCAAGACAATAATGGGGTTCAATGGATTGCGTTCGAGTACTCGCGGGACCGCGTCAAGATGGAGTACACCATCAGATGCGACGTCGAGTCTGTCAACGTTGATACGCTGACTCCCGAGTTCAAGACGGAGAACTGCGTGTACCCGCGCGCGTGCTGCAGCAAGGACCAGTACCGTGGCAACCGACTGATCTACGAGAACGAGTGCAACACGGTCGGTTGGGCCTTGGCCGAGTTGAATCCATGCCTTCGCGGCAAGCGAGGACTGATCCAACGAGCTGTCGATAGTTGGCGTAACAGCAACCAAGACCCGCGGTTGAGGAGCCGACGTGTGCGCCGCATGGCCAAGATTAATAATCGCAAAGCCGTTCAAGCCCCTCAGCCTCCTCACATGCCTGGCCCCAGCGGCCCGCCAGGGATGCCACCATCGGGCCACATGGGCCCGGGCGGTGCGAGCAGCATGGGCAAACCCAGCTTGAGCGGGATGGGCGGTCCGCAACTCCACCATCACCACAACCACCCGGACGGAAGCACTGGAGGAGGAGGGGATGACGTCGGTATGTTTCACCAGATGTGATGCCTGCCGTGATATCTCTGTGTTGTTATTACCTGTGTTATGATACCTTTGCGAAAATACCTGTTGAGCGGGAGGGCACTGCAAGGAGCTGCTGCAATGTTGCTTTGAGCAGCTGGAAGAGATCTTCATGTATACATACTACCTCATTGGACTTTTGGCTTGGGACTTCTCGCTTGCCATGGGCGTGGGCATCACCTCCACCACTACACATACCACATCCCAAAGTCATGTCTCCATGTACAACTGTACCCTTCCACCCTTTGTGTTGCTCACCTCCAGATTGTATTGCTGCTGCTGCTTGCTTGCTGTTTTCGCTTACCGGTTACAAGTTGTGAGGCTAACTCGCACTCCACTTACTAGACAATGACGGATACATGGACGAGGATTCGCAGCACCACCATCACCACCAAGCTCCCCCCGGCGCCCCCAACTCCGCCGTCCCGCAGGACAGCATCCGGGACTCCCACAACTTCCATGGCTACGCCGGCGCCAGCTCGTACCCTCCTCTCCCTAACCTGACCGGCGCCTCCATGCCCCCCTCCACATCCATGCATGCCAGCCCCCACCCGCCGCACCCCATCTCTGTGCGCGGAACCCACACGAAATCGCACGCCAAAGGTGGCGAGGAGATGGCGGAAGAGGAGCGCCTCTCCCTCTTTGGTGACATCCCCGAGGCGAAGAAGCGCAAGTTCATACTGGTCGATGACCCCGGCAAGGGCGGCCGTGTCCGGGTGCGCGTCACTCTGGACACGGTCGATACCGACGAGATCCCTGATTCCTTCCGCAAGAGCAACTCCGTGTTCCCCCGCTCCTGGTTCCCCATCCAAATGCAGAGTCCCCCTCCGAGTGCTCACGGTAGTCGCTTCTTTACCGAGCTCGACGATGACGATACGGTTGAGACTGAGGGGCGAGGAATGAGAGGTCGAGGGGCGAGAAAGGGCAAGCAGATGGTCTCGGTGTTGCTCTCTGTGGGGGGCGATGTGGAGGTGGGCGTCCCGCGCATGAGGAAGAGTGTGAGGATCAAGGAAGTCAAGTTGAATGATCTGGGGTACCGGATGACATGGCATCAGTCGAGGGTGTTTGCGGATAAGACTGTGTTCTTACAGAAGGCTTGTGAGTTTCTTCCTTGGTGTTTCCTCTTGCTGCATTCAGGGGTCTTGGGCGGGGACTTGCCTCCGGGCATCCGTTAGGAAGGGGGATTTTGGAAGAGGTGGTTCGGGAACACGACGCTAACAGTGGTGGCAGTGGACTCCTACCGGAACAAAGTCCGTAGCACGATGGAGCAGACGGGCAAGGATGTTGCGGCTATCGCGCCACACTTCGAGACGCGCGTCGGCAAGAGACTGTGGAACGATCGGAGCAAGAGGGAGCGAACGAGTGATGATTCTTAAATCGGGTGTCGGGATTGGGTGTGACTGTAATTTCCCGCACCTGCCAACATTTTTTTTTCCTCTTTCTGGACCAGCGGCAATACCTTCTTCTTTGACTTTCGAGAGAAACCAGCCACGATGAACGGCTACCTTCCGCTGCGGTGTCTGTGGTTTATTTCCCTCCTTTTTTCCTCCAAAGCGAGCGAGCGAGTTGCATTTGGAGGAGCCAAGTTAGCACGGGATTGATTCTTTCATTCCCTTTTTTGGGGGGGAGGGGGTGTGGTTGGGTGGGTGTAACGGAAGGAACGCATATGATATTTAGCGCTTGCTTTATTCTTGGATGGAAGGGGGGTGGGGGGGGGGGCGGGTGTTAGTGGTTTATTTGCAAAGAGGTTGAGAGTTGACAAGGTGGAGGTTGAGGTGGTTGAGGCGGCGTAGCATAAGTCGATAAGATGGGTAGATCCAATGAGTCTTGAAAGAAACCATGGCAGTGTTGCCTTGCTCTTATCTGTTTTGGTGTAATGGGGTTTTTTTTTTTTTGGCTTTGCTTTGTATTGTTATGTGTGTGGGCTGGATTGGATTGAATTGGGTTAGATTGAATTGGATTGGATTGGAACGGATTGGATTGGATTGGATTGGATTGGATTTTGATCGTAGGCTATTCAATTCAATATGCTTACTTACCTACCTTAGGCTTTTCATCCCTCTGTGAACTCTTCATGAGCCCAGTTTTTCTTTCTTCTTGTTTTCTTTTCTTTTTTTTTTTTGTTTTCTTTTTCTCTTCTTTTTCTTCTTCTTCTCTCTCTCTCTCT